AGCTCCCTCCCTCCTCCCCTCCCACCTTCACACCACCTTTCTACACTTCCCCTTTCCTTCTTCTCAAAGAAAGGACCCAAAGGGCTACCAAACCACCCTAGTACCTCAAGTGGCAGCACGATTAAGTTCATCTTCTTCCACTGAGGCCAGACAAGGCAGCCCAGCTAGGTAGGGGAAGGGTTTCAAAGGCAAGCCACAGAGCATAGACAGCCCCCACACCCCTTGTTAGGGGACCCACGTGTTGACCATGCTGCACATCTGCTACATATGTGTAAGGGGTCTAGGTCCAGCCCGTGAAAGCTCTTTGGTTATTGGTTCAGTATCTGTGAGCTCCCATGGGCCCAAATTAGTTTACTCTATAAGTCTTCTTGTAGTGTCCTTGACCCTTCCAGCTCCCTCAATCTTTCCTCCCACTCTTCCACAAAACTCCCCAAGCTCAGCCTGTTGAAAACATGTTTTTGTTCATGTAAGCACATGATTGACGCAAAAACATTATCCATTAAACTTCAACTTTCCAGTTATTTGAGTACAGAATTTGAATCCATATTGTCAAGTATGTTTAAAGATCTGAGCTGCCTAATTATAATGCACAGAAAATTCTTTCACATTTCTATAATGTGATAAGTGGTTATTTAAAATATACATTTCATATTAGTGAAATAAATCACACATCTAAAATGAAATGTTTTATAGATATCCTTCTATCTTACTTAATCCAGAATGATATAGACTGTGGATTTGGATTTATTTATGATAGAATAAATGCTGTCCTACAAAAATGTTAGAAATGTAAAACAGTACTTTTATTGTTCACTATGAGAGAGGGATATTATCTCACATACTTTTTTACAGAAACATATGTAACAACAGATTGAATTCTATAGATATACACTGCAGTTTATGATTCATTTTAAGAAATACGTATATTGAATTTCTGAACAATATAAAGATTTAAAAATGTAGTCAATTATAAATTACAGTCAGAGTTATGTAAGAAACCTCTTAATTTTGAAGCCAAAAGAAACCTTTTATATTCTTCTAATTCAATGAATTTGGATAGAAAATGGACATTTGCATATTTATGTACATATTTTGCTAAGTATTTTTCTTTAAAAGCTTTCAAACATACAAAATACTGGGGAGGATTGCGTAGTGAACTATAATCTGGATTCTGCCAATACCAAATAAGGTCACTTGCCTTATCACATATGTCCAGCTACCCATATTTCTATTTCTTTCCTTTCTTTCTTTCTTTTTTACTTTTTTCTCCATTTATTTATTCATTTAATCAGTTTACATTCTGATCCCTCACTTCTCTCCTCGTACCTCACCCTGCCTCCCATTCCCCACTCTCCTTCCTCCCAGAGAAGGAGAAGCCCCATTTGGTACCAATCCATCCTGGTATCTCAAGTCACAACAGGACTACACATACACACATCTTCTCCCACCAGGGAGTGACAAGGCTGCCCAGCTAGAGGAAAATGACCCAAAAGTAGGTAGTAGATTCAGAGACAGCCCCTACTCCTCTTGTTAGGGATCCCACATGGTGGCCAAGCTGCACATTTGCTACATATGCAAAGGGGGGGTCTAGGTTCTGTCCATACAAGCTCTTTGGTTGGTGGTTCAGTCCCATAGGCTCAGGTGAGATAACTCTATAGGTCTTCTTGTGGTGTCCTTGACTCCTCTGGCTCCCTCTGTCCTTCCTCCCACTTTTCCATAGCAATCACCAAGCTTGGTCTTGGGTCTCTGCATCCCTCTCCATCAGCTGCCAGATGAAGCCTTTCAGAAAACTGTTATGCTGGGCTCCTGTGTGCAATCATAGCAGATTATCATTAATAGTGACAGTGGTTGGCCCTGTACCATGGGCTGGATCTCGAAGCTGGGCCAGTCACTGGTTTGCCATTCTCTCAAACTCTGTTCCAACTTTGCACTTAAGCCTTTTGTAGATAAGACTCATTTTGGGTAGGTTGGTGATCCCCTACTTCTACTGGGAGTCCCACCTAGTTACAGGAATTGGCAACTTTATGCTCCTTAACATCTGTTATTTGGAGTCTCAGCTCGAGTCACCCCCATAGAGTCCCAGAAGCCTCCCTTTCTTGGAGATGTTCCCACACCAATTTCTATTCTCTCTCTCTCCCAGTTCTTTCCATCACCGACCCTTCTCTCTGCCCCAACCCCGGATTTTTTTCTCTCCTAGTTCTTCTCTTCCTCCTCTCTCTGCCTACCTGATCTCCACTCCAGTTATCCTCCTCCAGTCCATCTCCCAGCCCCATCTACTTCAGGTTGTCTATTATATTTTTTGTTCTGAGTGAAATTCAAGCTCCCCTTGGTTTCTTAGGGTCTGTGAATTGTAGTAAGGTTATCCTGTATCATATGGTTAATTTCCACTTATAAGTGAGTACATAGCAAGTGTGTTTCTGAGTTTGGGTTACCCCACTCAGTATGATCTTTTACAGTTCTATCCATTTGCCTGAAAATTTCATGATTTCCTTGTTTTTAATAGCTGAGTAGTATTCCATTGTGTAAATGTACCACACTTTCTTTATCCAGTCTTTGATTCCCACCACCCATATGGCAGCTCACAACTGTCATTCCAGTTACTGGAGCTCTCTCTCTCTTGAGACCTCTATGGACACTGAATGCACGGGGTGCATAGACAGTCATACAGGCAAAACCATACAACTAAAACAAAATTTAAAGCAAAGCAAAATCCACTGCTCTGTCATTCTTTAGATCTATGGGTCACAGTCTGGAAATATCTCTCCCTATCTTATATTTTCATTTAGAATTTTTCTTTATTTTGTTTAATCATGTGGTTGTGTGTGTGTGTGTGTGTGTATGTGTGTGTGTGATGTGTGTAGGGGTCCCATTTATATCTTATGTTATGATAATCTACCCAATCAAACTCTTTAAGCTGGTGCTAAAAAAAAAAAAAAAACTGAACTAAGGGAAGAGAGAGACCTTTCTGGCTGGATTTGAGAGGTGTGAACCCAGTGTTGCTCAGAGGCTATGACTTGGAGCCTATAGCATGTTGACTTTGAAAGGTTCTGAAAGGTAACCCTGTCTGAGAGAAGGAAGATTGAGGGCCGGAGATGGAATGTCAAACATTCTATTTTCTGGTTGCATTTCTTCCCAAGGCTAATAGCAGACCTACCCTTTCACAATGTGGGTTACACCATAACTTTGTCATTTCGCTTAAGCTATTTCAAATTAGTATTCGTCCCCTAAAATAACCTGATACGTTAAAGGAAAAGAAGAAGAAGACAGCAGTCAGATTTAAAGTGAAATCTAAAAAAATGACCATTATTGACCTACTGTATTTTTAAAGCGCTTTCTTTACAGGGAGTGTTTTCCTAGTGAAATGAATAGGATAAGGTTACATTCTCAGTCATTTAAAGATTCCTTCAGCAAAACCTGCCAGCATACCTTTCAGCAATAAGCACTTCCTACAGTCTCCCTAAGTTTATTTTACAAATGAAAGGTAGAAGTGAGTTCAAGAAAGTCTTTCTTTTTCTTTTTATTTTTTTTTTAAATCTACTTTCTAAAATAAACAGATAGAAGAACCACAAAGTTAATGGGAGGAATTTCAGTCTATTTAGATCTTTTGTGACAATGATCATACTGCCCCATAAAATGTCCCAGTCATGCTAGGTGGTGGTGGCACAAGCCCTTAATCCTAGCGCTTTGAATGTAGAGGCAGGATCTCTGAATTAGAGGCCAGCCTAGTCTACAGAGCAAGTTCTAGGTAGCTTGAGAAACCCTGTCTCAAAATATCAAAACAAACAAACAAGAAACAAAAAAGTTTCAGTCAGAAGTGAAGTATATATTGGGAAGGGTCTACTAGTGTGGCCCTAATTCCATCAGGACTAAAGTTTAAAAAAAAAAAAAAAAAGGAGGTGGATGGGGGGATAGAGACAAATTAGCTTGGAACAAATCACTTCAAGGCCACACCCACTTCACTTTGGGTTCACTGCGGTGTGTTTATTTTAATAGCTGATCTGAAAGCATGTGAGATGCCATGCCACAGCTGAACAGAGCCTAAACACAAAAGCTCAGAACTTAAAACTAAGCATGCATGCAGCATGGAATGATAATCACTTTAGACTTCTTGAATTGCTAAACATCAGAAGAGCGCCTACCTCACAACTTGGCCTTATGGTCCTGGCTTTTAGACTACCAGTGTTCAAATTATAAAACAAATACCTAAAAAATGTTTTTAAAATAGACTTATTTGACAGCGTGCATTCCCCTTTCCCTAGGCATTCGGATGGATTTTACCAATTAATCAGAGAAGGTTGTTGTGATAGACACATATAATACCAGCACTTGGGAAGCTGAGGCAGGATCGTCATGAGGTATGAAAACACCCGGGCCTCGAAGCAAGACCCTGCCCCCCACCCAGTATTCCTCTCAAAAAAAAAAAAAAATCTGTTTTGAAGAGGATGAAAATGTTGGCCCCAAAAGTTGTTCAGAAGCAGTACAGCAAGTTTGCCTCCAGGGAAAGGGTAATTTCCTGAGCTATTAACAACACTCAAAAAATGGTTGTCTGGTCATCAGTAGGCTCCCATACATGTGTTCTCAGAAGGCCTGTAGATGAGAAGTTTCCACTCCACTAACTTGAAATGAGAAATAGTAAAGGAAAAGAAATAATGAGGTGGTGAGACAAGAGACCGGCTGCTCTGACAATTGTTTGGTCCTATTTCAAGCAAGGTTTACTGGGGATGAGTATGGGGAGGCACAGATGGGGCAACGGCTACCTCCTACCCCCACCCCCATCCCCAGCTCAAAGGCCTAAGGTACAGGGTTGTTGGAAGCTCCACTCTTCCATTGCCTGCCCAGCCCGGCCCCGCCCCTTGCTTCCCACCATTCCTGGCCCCTCCTCTTCTTTCTTAACCCTACTGGAGGCAGCGCCACAGCTTCTATTCCTCCTTGCAGCAGCAGCTGGCTCCCGCTCCTGTCCTCGCTGGGCAGTAGCGTGAGTGCGCAGGCGTGGCTTAAGGCTCTTCTAGCGCCTCGTAGCAGAGCCAGACTCGCGGTGAGTGGGGTAGCGGCGCAGGACTCTTACGAGAAAGCGTGGTTGCAGCCCCAGAGGGACCCGGGTGTGTATGGAAGACTTTGACCCGGTTAGGGGAAACTCTTGCAGGCTGTCGGTGGCGGGGCTGCCCGCGCTTGTCTGGCTCCGTGGGCGTGCGGACAGGAGTGAGCGGTGGCGGGACTCAGGAAGGTGTGTAGGGGCGGCTGAACTGGAAGGGGAAGAAAGCTGTGGAAGCTGCAAGTCCGCACTTGGTCTTGGCCAGACAGGAGGTTCGCCCGAGAGCCTTGGAGGGTGGCCCAGCTTCAAGTTCAGCCCCCTGCTTGGTGCCCCTGAGCTTACTCATTACCCTCGCGCTGCTTTCTGGGTGTGCACAGTGTGCAGGAGCGTTTCCTCCTGCTGGGGAGAGGATATGGGGGAAGTGGGCTGTCTGACTAAGCTGTTGCAATAGAGGGTGTGGCGTTCCTGCAGACTTTCCTTTCCTCGGGACTGGACTGTGTCCCTCTTCTGATTCATTGCGCCTGGACATTTTTAACAAAGGCTATAGCTGTTTTGTAGGCAGTGGTGGCTGACAGAGGGAGGGGGGAGGGGACGAGCGTGCACGTGTGTGTGTACACTTGTGTGTGTGTGTGTGTGTGTGTGTGTGTGTGTATGTGTGTGTATACGGGAGTGTGCGCATACTCCCTTCAGAAGTCAGTCAAGTTGCCGCGCTACGGGTGGGGAATCTATGAGGGCCTAAAGTTGGGGGGAGCTTCTGGAAAGACATAGCAAGTTCCTGAGGAGACTGTTTTCTTTTTCCTGGTCTGTTGATTTTGAGAGTAAGAATGTTCCCCATGGGAATGTGACTGGATATTTGTGTGTCTGTGTGTGTGTGTGTGTGTGTGTGTGTGTGTGATTATGTTGTTCACATACGTTTTAAGAATTCAAACGAGAAAAAAACAAAACTAATGGAATTTGAGAAGAAATAAGAGAATGTGAATGAAAGGGAGAAGATGTGGAGTGGCAAGATAGAGCTAGATGAATTCTTTTTTGATAGTCACAGTGTAAGGCACGACTTTGAAAAATGTGAAGGTGTGCAAGTCAGTAAATTTAGCTAGATTATTGTTCATTGTTTTGTTGAAGACTTCCAGATACTTAGGCAGCCTCACTTTAGAAACTTTAAAAATGATGTTAAGAGCCTAGCGTGGTGGTGCTCGCCTTTAATCCCAGGCAGAGGCAGGCAGAACTCTGTGAGTTCAAGGCCATCCTGGTCTACAAAGCGAGTCCAGGACATCCAAAGCTACACAGAGAAACCCTGTCTTGGAAAAAAAAAAAGAAAGAAAAAATGATTTTAAGAATATAAAACATTAGGGGAAAGTATTGTAAAATTAGATAAAAGCCCGTAGGATTTCATTTAAATTTTAACTCATTTGTTTTAACTTAATACAACATAACAAAATGAACTTCCTTCTCCACAACTCTTCCTTGATTGTAAACCCTGCTTTATAAACATTTACTCTCTTGGGCTATAGAGATGGCTTAGAGGTTAAGAACACTGCTTGATCTTCCCAAATACCTGAGTTCAATTCTCAGCATTCACGTAGTGGCTCACAACCATCTATAATGAGATCTGGTGCCCTCTTCTGGCCCTCTTCTGGAGTATACATGGAGGCAGAACATTGTATACATAATAAAATAAATCTTTAAAAAAAAGAAATGAAAAGAACTAAACATTTACTCTCAAGATATGAAATAAATTAAGCAGACCTTCTTTTGGTTTTCTTGTTATTTTTATTTATTTTTTCTCCGATTATTCAAATGATATTTGTAATAATATTATCAAAATTGGAAGGGGGATATTTTCAACTTTTCTAAGAGCTTAGTGAACTCCTATTCATACTTCAGACTCGTGCTAATTAACTTATTCCAAAAATTTCCCAACTGCTTCAGGAGTAGTCATCCTTTAACTGTTTATTTGAAAGCACTAACCTTATTTTTTCTCTTGCTACCCAAATAATAGGGCTGCCTTGTCTATGGTAAGTGTCCAATAATTTATGGTTGCATATTATTAAGTGCAATTAGAAAGATAAGTCATGAAGTAATAGAATTAATTTTGAACTTATTTAATATTTAGGAAACATTTCCTAAATATAGATAATATGGATAAAGAATGAGAACATAGATATATTCTCATGTGTTAGAGATAGTTTATAATCATAAAGAAGGGGTAAAAACTGTAGACAAGAGGGAAAATGAAGATCATAAAAGCACACATTGTAGAAGAGACCAAAGCTAGTGAATAGTCAGTGCACACACAGGAGTGTGTAATTTGTCATGTGCAGAAAGACATAAATAAGGTGCTACTTGAATTTAGGGAATACTAAAAATGAATGCAGCTCACTAGGTGCTATTTACTAAAAGTTAACATAACTAAAGAAAACTGCAACCTATGTTATGTTGTACTCCTGAATCTTAAGGTGGTTTGAGCCTTTAGCTAAGGAGTCCTTTTGTATTTTTTTAAAATTTAATAACTTTTTTCTTTTTTCATTTATTATTATTATTTATTATAATTTATTCACCTTGTATCCCAGCTGTAGGCCCCTCCTTCATCTCCTCCCAGCCCCACCTTCCCTTCTTCTCTCTCCCCAACCCCGAATGTCTCTCCGCTAGTCCACTGATAGAGGAGAACCTCCCCTACTATCTGACCCTAGCCTATCAGATCTCATTAGGACTGTCTGGATCCTTTTTCTGTATAGCCTAATAAGGCCACCTCACCAGGGGGAAGTGATCAAAGAATAGGCAACTGAGTTAATGTCAGTGACTGCCATTGCTTCCCTGACTAGGGAACCCACATGGAGCCGAGCTGCCCACGGGCTACACCTGAGCATGGGGTCAAGGTCCTCTCCATGCAAGGTTGATTCATCAGTCTCTGCAGGACCCCCTGAGCCCAGAATTTTTTGGCTTTGTTGGTCTCCTTGTGGAGCTCTTGTCCCCTCCAGGTCTTTCTGTCTCCCCCTTCTTCCATAAGATTCCTGCACTCTACCCAAAGTTTGGCTATGAGTCTCAGTGCCCCCTTCAATACCCTGATGGGTGGAGTCTTTCAGAGACCATCTGTGGAAAGCTCTTGTCCTGTTCCTTGTCTCCTACTTTCGACATCTATCCTGTTTGCCCTTCTGAATGAGGATTAAGCCTCTTCCCTAGGGTCTTCCTTGCTGTTTACCTTCTTTAGGACTATAGATTTTTAGTATGTTTGTCCTATATCATATGGCTAATATCAACTTAAAAGTGGGAATATACCATGTGTGTCTTTCTGCCTCAGGGTTACCTCACTCAGGATGATCTTTTCTAGTTCCATCCATTTGCCTGCAAATTCCATGAGTTTTGTTTTTAATTGCTGAATCAGCTTGGTCTGATTATTTCTGCTATCTTGTCTAAGACAGCTCTCTTAACTCCAACAGTATTACTGGCTTTCTAGTTACATCTAGGTCCACTCAAATCTCAACAGTCCTGTCCTCTGCTTTTATGTTCTAAATGATTTACCCATTACAAAGAGACAGGATCTCACTATAAAGAATTGACTGCTGTAGAACTTGGTTTTCAGACCAAGCTGGCCTCAAAGTCACAGATTGCCCCTGCCTCTGCCTCTGCCAAGTGCTAGAACTGAAGATGAATAACCACCATGCCTGGCTTTTTATATTCATTTCTGTTTTCTCACTTGGACATCCTGTTCTTGTAGTATTTATTGAAAGGTTTATATTTCTTTGTCAAAAACAAGTTAGTTGTATTAATCTGTATCTATTTATAAGACCCTATTCTATTACATTGACTGAAGTCTATTATATTGTCAATACTACGTTGCTTTTTTTACTTTTTATGAACATTTTTTTAATTTTATTTTTCTTATTAGTTACATTTTGTTAACTCTGTGTCCCAGCTGTATCCCGCTCCCTCATTCCCTCCCCAACCCCACACTCCCTCCCTGCTCTCCTCCCTGCCCCTTTCTAAGTCCACTGATAGGGGAAGACCTCCTCCTCTTTCATTTGACCCTGTTTTATCAGGTATCTTCAGGGCTGGCTGCAAAATCCTCCTCTGTGGCCTAACAGGACTGCTCCTCCCCTGGGGGGGGGAGGTCAAAGAGCCTGCCCTTCAGATCCTGTTAGAAATAGTCCTTGTCCCCCTTACTTTGGAAAACTACTTGGTTACTGAGCTACCACGGGCCACATCCGAGCAGAAGTTCTAGGTTATATCCATAGATGGTCCGTGGTTGAGTGTCAGTCTCAGAAAAGACCCTGTGCCTGGATATATTTGGTCCTTGCAGAGCTCCTATCCTTTCCATATCATACTAACTCCCCTTCTTTCATATGATTCCCTGCACTCTGCCAAGGGTTTGGTTATGAGTCTTAGTGTCTGCTTTGAAACACTGCTAGGTAGAGTCTTTAAGATGCCTTTTGCGGTAGACTCCTGTCATACATTCAATGCACATCCCATTTGTCTTTCTAAATAAGGATTGATCATTTTCGCCCGTGACCGCTTTCTTGATTATCTTCTTTAGGTGTGTAGATTTCATTATGTTTATCATATCTTGTAGGTCTATATCAGCGAGTATATACCATGTTTGTCTTTCTCTTTCTGGGATATTTCACTCAGAATGATCTTTTCTAGATCCCACCATTTGCCTGCAAATTTCATGATTTCCTCCTTTTTGATTGCTGAGTAGTATTCCATTGTGTAAAAATACCACAATTTCTGTATCCATTCCTTTGTTGATGGACATCTGGGTTGTTTCCAGGTTCTGGCTATTACAAATAAAGCTGCTACAAACATGGTTGAGCAAATGTCCTTGTTGTGTACTTGAGCAAATTTTGGGTATATACCTAGGAGTGGTATAGCTGGGTCTTGAGGTAGCACTATTCCTAATTGTCTGAGAAAGCACCAGGTTGACTTCCAAAGTGGTTGTACCAGTTTACATTCCCACCAGCAATGGAGGAGGGTTCCCCTTTCTCCACAACCTCTCCAGCATGTGT